GACTTTTTTTAAAGCTCAAACATCAGTTTGGTCGTCTTTATTTAAGTTAATTTGTAAAAGATATATATGTTCCAATTAAAATTATTAATGTTTGTTGTAATGTTGGTGGATACACCATGAAAGATAATATACATTTAATCAACATACAAGAAAGATTCAACTTAGAAACTATTTTCAACAACCATTTTTTCAACGGGAGTCAATTTTTCAAGTTCTCCTTGCACGTACAAAAGTTCTTTGTCTAAACATTCCGTGTGCAATTTCTTTTCTTGCTTTCGTCTCGACTTCCTGTTTATCAGAATGCTTCTACATTTGAATTATTACTTGAATATTTTTAATATTTGAGTTATTGAACTATATTTTGTTGCCATTTCACAATTAGATTGTACCAGATGAAAACTTTGTCAAAATGTTTGCAGTTAAAACAATAATTAACAAAAGCCAAGCAGATGCGGTTCTAAACTGGCAGAGAAGACAGTGTTGCTTGTTGTTGTTGTTGTTGCTTGTTGTTGTTGTTGTTAGAGGTCATTTTTTTAAATGTCAACAGGTCATATCAAAATTTTTAACTTTTTTTTTCAATTTCGGCTCTTGTTAACACTGTCTAGATTCGCAACTGATTAGTTGTACATCAAGAACGTTGGAATCTCGATTACCAAATTTTACATTCTCATGTCGAGAAGATTCATTACTAAATGAATCTGGTAAAAAAAATCTACCAGTTTAATACACTATATCAGGGTCCCAATCTAAAAAATTTAACTATAGCGTTCGTACAGTAATACACCATGATGAATTTTCAGTTCATTCAAATTAGACCCAAGAATGAGTTCAGGTTTCAGACAAAATAAGAAAGTGTCACCATCATCATCACCACATCCTGATCATCATCATAACTGAAAATACCTTCATTCCCCCAACACCATCATCAATTCTAGACCACATCATCATCATCATCACCGTCAATCAAAAAAATTTTTTCACTTCATTTCAAGAACTAACTTGACACTTAGGACGATGACGAAGACTAAGACTGCCAGAGCAATGAGGGTTATAAAAAGACTTAACCCCGTGGCCAGCAAGGTCAAGTTCATCTGTTTGTCACGACCTTTGTGGTGATGATGATGATATTAGTGTTGATGATGATGATGCTATTGATGATGATGGTGTTGGTATTGATGATGATGTTGGTGTTGATGATGATGTTGTTGGTGTTGATGATGATGGTAATTATGATGATGATGTTAGTGTTGATGATAATGTTGGTATTCATGATGATGATGTTAGTGTTAATGATAATGATGATGATGTTGATGATAATGATGATGGTGTTGTTGACGATGGTGATGATGATGATGAAATAAGAAAAACTTGACCGTTTGCAAAAACATACACGCACAATCTTTTACACAGAAAAAAAAATTTGAAGATGTCTACAAAAAAAAGCTAAGCCCTTTACTACACAAAAAATTTGGACTTTGTTAATCTTTTGCTTATTTCAATTTCACTCTAATAATTTGTGGCAGAGTTTGTTTTACACATTCACACTCCCCTTAATATTTAAGATATCAGGTCTGCTATGCCCTTAATGATTCTCGGAGAGTAATTTCAAAAAATTTGAATATAAACAATTGAACTTACTAGGCAGAAAATGATCCTGGCATTGGGTTCCCGTAAAATCCTTCCGACACCTGTTGTGGAGTGTTTATGGAAAATGTAGGTGGACAAATTATTTCGCAACTGTGGTTAAACTTGTGCTGAGGGGTAAGCGAAATTAAACTAGGAACTCAAGAGACCCAAACTGAAAGATGATTATTAAGTAATCTCAACTCACATGCAATACATCAGCTGTTTAGACTTGTCGAAACAACACTGACCTGAACAATAAGCGGATGATGAACGAGGTATCACTCACACACGTGAATATTTTAAATTAAAATGATCAGACGATTAGAATGAATAGAATAAAATTAAAATTAAATGATTAATTAAATGATTTGAATTAATTCATAATTAATTCATTTGAATGGTGGGGGCTCTAACTACCTCTATGCTGGCAGAACTTGCTCGGTTCTTGTATAGGACAGGGACTACACTGACCTCCGTCACTTTCTGAAACTTCAATTTCGTTTTTTGAAAAATTGTTTTAAAAGTTTATTAAAATCGGGATGAGAGAGAGAGAGAGAAGACAGAGAGAGAAAACAGTGAAAAAGAGAGAGAGAGAGAGAGTGAGAGGGCGGAAAAAGAGAGAAATATATCTTACGATTATGATAATGATGATGACCATTACCCAGACGTCAATTTCGTGCTTAATAAGTTAATTAATAGTTAATTAATAATCCAATTGTAATGTATTCATCTAAATTTCTCTGTAGCACAGGTTAAACACGGATGTTCTGTTTTAACTTATTTAAAAAAAAATCCTCAAATGATACGACTAAATAAATGACTGACGACTTAAATGACCCCAAAACTCTAACCATTATCTGGTGAGGATCGAGCACCTCCAGCAGCCAAAACAATGATAACGAGCCAAACAAAAAGACCCCAAAACCGTTTAACTTTGCCAATCATGTTACTATATTTCAAATGCTGACTCTCTCTAATAAGACTCTGTTTTTCAAAATTTATTTAAAATATTAAAAAATACGGATTAAGCTATCCGTACAATTAAACTTTTAAAGCAACAGTTTAATCAGTATTCCAGTAAAGTTTAAAGTGAATGTATATAGTATATATATATATATATACATACATATATATATATATACATTCATATTCATATACATATTCATATACATATATATAAATAATAATAATAATGTATATATAGATATATCAGATAGTTGACCTGCTATATATGATAGGTGCTGTGTAGAGTCTTGATCGGTAGGTTTGTCAACTAGACAAAATTGCAATAATAATATTAATTATTATAATGTTACTCTTAATTATTACTATTATTTTTTATTATTGTTGTTGTTATTAAAATTAATTATTAAATAATTATAGCGGTGTAATTTTCTTCTTATTATTTTTCTTCGTAATTATCAGCCTAACTAAATTTTCCAACTAAACTGAACTGCCTTTTTAATGTTAACGCCGTAATTACCGATTTCAATTACCCAAACAATTAAAGGCACACATTCACACACATACCCACACACACACATACACACACACACGTATACACACACACACACACACATACACACACACACATACACACACATAAGCGCATGCACACACAAACGCACAGTAGTAGTAGTAGTAGTAATAATTGTAGCAGTAGTAGCTGTAGTAGTTGTTGTAGTTTTATAGTAGTAATAATTATTATTTTTTTATTATTTTATAACTATATTTGTTTGAGATGTCGACAAACGATTGCTGCCTTATCTATATGAAGGTGCGTCATTGGTGAAACCAAGATCCGGTTTTATACAGAGAGAGTGAGAGAGAGAGAGAGAAAGAGAGAGCGAGAGAGAGAGAGAGAGAGAGAGAGATATATGTTTATTATGATGTAACTGATGATAATTAATGTTATAACAACAACGACAAGAATTAATATTATTATTTTGTTGTTGTTGTTGTTGTCGTCGTCAGTATTACCATATCGACATTATTTCAAACACTTAGTAGTGTTTAAGAGATTTCGTGTATTTATTTGATATTTTTATATCGTTTTAAGAATTTTATCTTCTTTCTTTCATACTTTTATTCTAATGTCTGGTGATGGATTGTTTCATAATTTTCAAAAAAGACGTTGAGACGATGGCGTAATGTTAATTCAGTTGAGATGCCATTGAGAAATAGGAATGCAAATTTAATTAGTTAACAGACGAGCCCGTGTGAACGCAAGTCTTCCGATTACCCAACATCCCCAGAATCGGCTTAGCTAGTTACTTGGCTCGTCGATATAACTCACATCATGGTAAACTTATATGTGAACTGTCTGACACGCCTACTCAATTTTTCAGTATAAAAGGAGGTAATTTCAAAGCGAGGCAGATTGTTTGTTCAGCAAGAGACATCCAACTGATCTCTGCATGTGGCCCTGTTTCTCGAGAGTGTCCGGAAGTTAAAGGGCGGAAACACTCGTTGACGGAAACTCTTCCTCTGAAGACTCTCGCTGAACGCTCGTTGTACTCAAGCTTCTAAATACATATTTATATATATACATATTTGGCGTTTATGTATGAATATCTGTAAAAATATAATAGCTTTTATGTGCGTGTGTGTGTGTGTGAATGTGTGTGCTGGTATGTTTGTGTGCTGGAATGTTTGTGTGTGTTATAATTTGTTAATACGTGTTTCTGTTTAACAATTGAGTAAAAGTTCTTTCATTTGTCAATCGATCTACTCGGAAAACGTGTAAACATTTCAAAAGAAAAAATTTGACTAAATTCGTTGAGTTTTCTGACATTCAAATGTTCGTCTTTACGGTTGTCAAAAACTGAAAAAACTATCTAAACATGTGTAGAATGAGAATCAGAGAGAGAGAGAGAGAGAGAGAGAGAGAGAAAGAAAGAGAAAGAGAGAGAGAGAACAATATGTATTAATGGGTCTAAGTTAAATCACAATAATACAATTATTAATACAACTAAATACAAGTAAAATTACATATATGCAAGTATGAGAATGACGACAACTTGATGGTTTACCGTATGTAAGAATGAATAAGAATGAAAGCTGGAAAAAAACGAATGAATGATTGAATGAATGAATGAACGAACGAACGAACGAACGAATAAATGAAATTAACTTTGTAGATTGAGTATATAAATTTTGTATACAAATAACTCTTAACAACTCATGATAACTATTAAAAAAGTATACAAGTAAAAACGTTCAAAAAATGTAATGGTGATTTTCGATGTTTATTGTATTCATATTTGCATGTATATATGAGTAAAATTATTCCAAATAATAAATATATAAATATTTAGAGAATTCAAAAATTGATCACCGAAGTACAACCTCTAATATGAAGCAAAATGAGATCTAGGTTTGTTTAGTCTATAAATATTTTATTTGGCTTGAGAGCAAAAAATTTAGGACATAGAAAAATAAATTAAAATGAATAAATGTTGAATCGATTTAAAGTATAGGTGTGTTGAATTTGTAAAGGTATGGTTTTGAACTTGGAAAATAATTTAAGATTTTGTAAAATTTTTACTGAGATGAGCTCTTAAACCAAATTCACAACTGCGATTAATTCTTACATTATGTTTCAAGTCAAAAGTATCTAGTCAAAATTTTTCATCTTCAAGTCAAGTTAAATATTACTGAAAGTTTAAACATCCTTTCATTAGTTGTTTTCTTTTCTGATTTTCCTTCAGGTGTATCAATCACACACAAACACACACCTACACACACACACACACACACCACACACACACACACACACACACACACACAAGCCCTTACGTAAATTGTAGTGATAACCAGACGATTCTCACACGCAATTGCATTTGGACAGGTATGGTACTTTCAACATTCAATTCATTGCATCGTCTTTTAGAAGTGCTTTTAACATCTATGCCATTAACAAATTATCCTCTTTCTTTCAGTTTAGTGTTACTCTCAACTATTCGCATCTTTGTTTCAATGTGCTTATATGTCAAATTGTTTGAGACGTATGCAGTATCTATAGGCTGTTTGAGAAGAGATGACTAATTAAAAAAAATAATATAAATATAAATATATAATATATTTATATATTTATATACATATATATATATATATATATATATATATATATATATATATATATATTGAATAATTAATAACTAAAACCAATATAAATACGAAATAATAAACATATTTATAAACTTCCCCTCGTGGAAAAGTTATCTTTACAGATTTTTTGGCAAAAAACATTACGAAAATAAAGCAAGACATTTATAAAAAAATCGGTGAGCGTAGGGCATTGAAGACAAAGGAGAAAAAGCTAAAAAGTTACAAAAAAAACAGATATATCAAGAAAAATTAATACAAAAATAGTCGCAAAACTCATAAAAATGGCCGACAATAATCAATAAAAACTTAATACATGTGCCGAGAGCAAGGTGCTATGAAAAAACCAAATCAGAAAAAATAAAAATTTATTAAAGAAAACACATAACAAAGTTGTTTTTCCAAGAAAAAAGGCAAAAATTTTTACGAAAACAACACGTACTGCTTATCAAAGTACCTTGCTAACACACGCAACTAGCCAAACATATAAATTTGCTAGAATTATTTTAAAATAAATCATTAAAACAAATTAGTTTTCGGATAGTGACTAGTTTTAGAAACTCGTATTTGATTAGTTTATTTGGTATGAATATATAGTTCTGTACGTCTGTGACAACTATTTTTTAGCCGGAACTTCAGTCAAAATCGTCAAATGGACTTTGTAGAAAGTTAAAATATAAATAAAATGTATAAATGAAGAAGAATTTTTTGGCAAATTTCCATTGTAAATTTATATCTATAAGAACTAAATAATTTACATAATTTTTCGTAAAAAAGTTTATAATACAAATAAAATAAATTCTAATACAATAGCATAATCTGAAGAAATGTCAGTCATGAAAGAGAGTGCAAGTGTGTGTGTGGGTGTGTGACGTGTTTGTGTATGTGTGTATACATGTGTGTTTATATGTGTATATGTGTGTGTAGGTGTGCGCGTGTTTGTGGATCGCAAATGAAGTAATTATTAACATGAGCTTTCACACAATTATGCTAAGACGAAGAAGATGATGACGACGATGATGACGATGATGAGGACGATGATGTTTAAGAAATCACGATCATATTATCATCTAAACGATTATGACATAGTTCAAAATTATAAGTTTATATAATGAAATGATCAAAATATATATATAAATATATGTATATATGTATATATACTTATATATGTGTGTGTGTATTTATATACTATATATATATATATATATATATATATATATATAAAGCTCTACAACTACCACTTAAACACAACATCTACCTATATATATATATATATATATATATATATATATATATATATATATATATATATACATATACAATCAACATTAAGAGAACGTATTGATATAAAACATACGTTAGTATACAATTATATATACATAGATATTAGCTTGTGTGTGTTCGTGCGTGTGCGTATGTGTGTAATTACAACATAACTTCACAAGAGTAATTATATGACTAAGATGAATTATGTCTTTATTCGACATGCAAAAAATCTAGACGATATATATATATATATATATATATATATATATATATATATATATAATATATATATATATACAATTAAAGTGATGTTTATGACAGCTCCGCTTGATTATCGTTCAAAAGTTTTGCAATCAATCTCTTATCGTTTTGCTGGGCAAGTGGCTTTGACTGAAATGTGATTCAAGTTTTAGATCAAATTCTAGTTAATTTATTGATTTATTATCTATTTATACACCATAAATTTGCAAACATGGGCATTAGTCAGCCAAAATGTTTAGAAGAAACCAAAAAATTTGTTCGAATGTGGCCAGTGCATTTTTAAAAATTGTTATAAGTCAACTTTTCTTTTTTGTAAAATTCAATTCCAGGCTGTTTGAATTATTAATCAACACCTACCTATACTATGTCACAAAATATTACATTTGGCCTATAAAACTTTTGTCTCATATGTTATTTGGCGAAAACTAATACTTAATAAAATTGTATGTAACGACAATTAGAATTCGTGTTATAAAAATGTGATCAACCAGAAAACTGGCTAGTATATCTAATAAATAATCAATTAATTAATAAGGTGGTGACTTTTTTTAGAACATAAGATAGTCGTTTCATTATTTCATCATTGGCTTGGCAACTAGAACCATTGGAAATCAAAAGCCTTATAGACAAACTTTAAATAAAAAAGCTTCGAGGTTAAAGAAGTCTAAAAGAAGACTTTTAACATTTTTGGAACTTAAAAAATCAACGAATAAAAACGAAGAAATTAAATCAAAAACACATTATTATAAATAATAAAATCATAATTTTTTTTAATAATAAGTTTCTCTCTCCATCCATCCGCCAGGGTTTGTGCGCAGTAGATACTTTCTCAGCTCGTCATACAAAAGTATGGAACAACTGAAGGGAAGGGGCATGAGCCACCAGGTCCATCTGGTTGTTGATTGGTTGGTTGGTTGATTGGTCGGTGGTTGATTGGTCGGTTTGATGATTGGTTGATTGATTGATTGGTCGGTGGTTGGTTTGATGATTGGTCGGTTTGATGATTGGTTGGTTGGTTGATTGATTTTATTTATTTCAAAACCTAATTTAGTAAATAATATTAAAACAATAATAATAATAATAACAATAATAATAATACAATTATACGCTAACTATAATAACAATTATTATTCATTTTTATAAATTTATTCCACACGGTCCAATCAACCACCCCTTAGACCTTAAGGGGTACATTCTTAGTCCCTTGTCCAGTCCGGGAGTGTATGTCAGTAGGGCCGCCAGGGCAGTTTCAAAGAACAGCCCGAATGTTAAGTAATGGTTCCTAGGTGGAATAATAATAATAATAACAATAATAGTAATTAATAATATTTAATAATTATTATTATTATTATTAATTATAATAAAAATAATGATAATAATTAATAATACTTAATAATAATGATAATAATAATATTAATGATGATGGTAATAATAATAATTTAATGAATTCACCGTCAAAAACAACAGCAACATCATCATCATCATCAACAACAACAACAACACAACCATCATCCTCATCAACAACAACATCATTGTCGTCGTCAACACGACTGACAGCATTCCCTGATGTATGATGGAATTTCTCCTGGTCTTACATATCACCAGATCGGTCCACTGGACGACGACAATGGAGACGAAGAACGCTGTGTGGCATGTGTATTCTAGAGCCTTCCTCTGCGCGTATGTCTGCCCAGAATTTTTAGAATTCAAAATTTGTGACAATAAAAATCTCAAAATTCTTTTAATAATAATGAATATTAATAAATAATAACAAATGGTAGCAATAATAAAGGAAGAATATGTAATTATAATAATCATAATTATGTCATCCGTTCGTTGGTGGGTTTGTAGGTAGGTAGGTTGATAGGTTGGTAGGTAGGTAGATAGGTAGGTTGGTGGGTTGGTAGATAGGTAGGTAGGTAAGTAGGAGCCCCAAGCGTAGCTTCAGAGGCGACCAATAATAATTTGTGGTAATAGTCAGCTAAATTCTGCTGTGATTCTTGTTCCTTTTTCAGTTGTCAATTTTATGAATAAATGAACAAACGTTCTCTAAAAGTCTGTCGCTTTTTAAAACTTCCTTAACCGCGGCTTGATGGTGTTCATTGTAGCTGCCTCGCTTGTATAACATTTAAACTATGTAGGTATCTTCTTGTTTGGCAAGTACAAGAAACATTCAAACAATTGAAACATTTCAAACAATTAATGAAATCTAAGAGTTTAACACCAAATGAATAATTCGAACTGCAAACTAACAGCAACACACATACATACACTATAAACACACCACACACACACATACTTACACATACACACACACACAGAAACATACACACACCATACACACGCACAAACACACTCACACATACACACACAGAAAAACACACAGAGAAACACACACAGACATTTAACACACCCATTCCTGTCCATAGGAATCTTCAAGATCCGTGACGGATCTTGAGTCCCATTCTCGTCTGATTCCCAGCAGCTTTCGCGGAAGGAATCCATTTTCAGACATGATGACGAAGTAAGCAAAAAATCCACCACAGGCTTGTATCGGGCCTATCTGGCCGTAAGCCATTCCTATCAATCTGAGTTTTTTTTTTTGAAAAATTCAAATTGAAAAATTCAAATTGAAAAATTCAAATTGAATTAGATGCTAATATTTGTTTTTGTTATAACTTTATTTTAGGTCTAAAAGTTATGTTGGGATTGTTATTTTGTTGAAGTTAGAATGATTTTTGAATGAGCGAGCGTTCTAGATAGAGAGCCAAGTAACATTTTTTTTTTACAAACAAATCAGTTAATTAACTATTGAAAAATTCAGATTGACAAATTCAAATTGAATTAGATTGAAAATTCAAATTGTTTTTGTTATAACTTTATTTTAGGTTTAAAAATTATGTTGGGATTGTTATTTTGTTGAAGTTGGAACAATTTTTGAGTAAGTAAGCGTTCTAAACAGACAGCCAAGTATCATTTTTTTTTACAAACAAATCAGCTAATTAACTATTTGATTGATCAACCAACTAACTAACTATCCAAGCCACCAACAAATCAGCCAGCCACCCAACCAACCAATCAAATAGTCAACCAACCAGCCACCCAACCAACCAACTGACAAACTAGCCAACCAACCAAACAACCATCCAAACAACCAACCAACCAACTGACAAACTAGCCAACCAACCAAACAACTAAACAAACAACCAACCAACCAAACAACCAACCGAACAACCAACCAATCAACCTGTTATTAACAAGTTTATCGTGCAGAGGATCTCTTGGCAGTCTCTTCATGATGTCACTCTCTGCTGATTCATACGCCAGAGATATGGCGGGAACCAAATCCGTGCCGAGGTCAATGCACAGGATCGTTATCGTCCCTGGGTCAAAGTTCAAATGCTCTCTTATATAAACAACATTTTTTTTTATTATTCTTTGAAAATCAGGATCTGACAGACGCAGAAACTGTTACAGCATGCAAGGCAGTAGAGAAAAATTAAACGAGCAAGTATATAAAAATTTGGCTTGATCAACAAAAATGCCAAGTTTTGCGCTAAAGTAGCCGAGTTGACTGCAAATTGCCAAAAAAGCCACAAATGGACATGTTGAAAAGTTTCCACGTCAAAACTGTACATATGCGGCCCTCCAATGGTAAAATACTTTTCAATGCGGCCCTCGCAGCAAAAGGTTTCTCCACCCCTTACGTATAACGTTAAAGAAATTGTGTGATGAGTTCATTCGCGCGTATATTCAACTCTCATTGTTAAATGCACCATTCAATAGTTTGTGTTTTATCTCTGGTTTTTTTTTTATTTGATATTCGGTTTATACTTATGATATTTAATTCATTTTTAGGTTTTTATTGGTCAAGGATAATTCTTAGTATGAGAGTACAAATACAGAATAGCCTTCATTTTAAATTTCATAACGGGGTTAAAAGGTCATAGTGGAAAGTTAATGGGCATCATCATCATCATTATCACCACCATCGTCATCATCATCATCACCAACATCATCATCATCATTATCGTCATCACTATCATCATCACCAAAATTATCTTATCACTACCAACATCATCATCTTCACCATCACCATCATCATCATCATCATCACACCACCATCATTATCATCTCCTCCTAACCCCAGCTAACCTAGGGAGAGAGGTATGTCAGCCAGGATGAATAGTAGGAATGGAGTTATTTCTGGAATGTTGCTGGTCAGTGTGTAGGCAATGGACTTTTTGAGGTTGTCAAAAATCAACCGACCTGTCGTTTGGGCGTTTTTGTTGACGACGACTGTTGTTATCGAAGTTTACTTTTGAAAATTTTGGCCTAGTTTTTTGTTTTGAAATTGTTATCCAAGTGGTCTGGTTTTTTGTTCTTTGGTTTGAAGTTGTTATCGAAGTTTTACTTTTGACAATTTTGGTCTAGTTTTTTTTGTTTCTCGGTTTCACCACCAACGTCACCATCATCACCATCGTCATCATCATCATCGCCATCATCATCATCATCATCACCACCAACGTCATCATCACCGACATCATTACCATCATCATCATCACCACCGTCATGACGTCACTAACCTTCTTCGACGCCGGTGACAATTGATGCAAAATTGTCATCGAGCAAGATCATATCAGCTGCCTGCTTGCTTACGTCACTTCCGGCAATCCCCATAGCGACGCCTGGCGTGGAAATTGTCCACTATTCATTTCATTATGTCGTTGTGTGGCATTGTGTGGTGATGTGTGGCATTGTGTGGTATCGTGTGGCCTTGTGAGGTGATGTGTGGTGATGTGTGGCATTGTGTGGTATCGTGTGGCCTTGTGAGGTGATGTGTGGTGATGTGTGGCATTGTGTGGTATTGTGTGGCCTTGTGAGGTGATGTGTGGTGATGTGTGGCATTGTGTGATATCGTGTGGCCTTGTGAGGTGATGTGTGGTGATGTGTGGCATTGTGTGGTATCGTGTGGCCTTGTGAGGTGATGTGTGGCATTGTGTGGCCTTGGGTGGTAATGTGTGGCATTGTGTGGTATCGTGTGGTTGTGGTAATGTGTGGTATTGTGTGGTATCATGTGGTTAAATACTTTCATTGGACTTTTTGACAGCTAACGATTTGCACTGAAAATGTAATGCACCTAAGGTACGTAGAAATGGAATGAAATAAATTTTTTTTGAAAATTTTTTATAAAACTGTATGTGTGTATATGTATGAACACCACAAAAACCACACAAAATACACATAGTATGCGTGTATATGTATAAAAAACACAAAATACCACACAAAATACACATAGTATGTGTGTATATGTATATACAACACAAAATACCACACAATGCTCAGTTTTAAACGTTCATATTTTTGTATTATTTAAATTTCAAATAATCGCAACCAGACACACATTTTTGTGAGGAAATCTCTTTTGGGTGGCCGAAGAAATTCAGTAAAGACGAATATTGTCATTGAATTTAATAATTTTTATTAAAAATCAAAAAAAATTCATTAATTCCATAAAATTTTTCATTAAAAAGACAAAAATAAATTGTCAAAATCTAAACTACAGTCAACTACTGACCGATATCTGCTTTCTTAAGGGCGGGACTGTCATTGACTCCATCGCCTGTGACAGCCACAATGGCCCCCTGCCGTTGGCAGCCCTCGACGATGATGAGTTTTTGCTGGGGGGAGGTCCTTGCGAAGACGATCTCGCTGTGATTGGCTAGGAGGTCGTCCAATTGGGCTGAGGTCATGTCACGGAGGTCTGTTCCGTGTACTACGCAGGCTTGTGCGTCTCTGTGTGTGTTTGTGTGTGTGTGTGTTTGAGTGTGTTTGTGTGTGTGTGTGTGCGTGCGTGTGTGTGTGTGTGACTAATTTGTATGTATATGTACGTAACGAATATAAGTATATATAAGCTTATTAATCTGCAAACAACAAGACACAATACAACAAAACACATTACAACAAGACACAATAAATCCATCTAAGAAGAAACAACCCACCAACCAACCACCAATCAACCAACCAGCCAACCTACCAACCACCCACCTATCTATCTACATTTGAAACGTTGAATTTTTTTTACCATCCAAGCTCTCTCAGAATATAAATTTTGGAAGAAAAATATTGGCTGATATAAGTTTTCTGCCAGTTTATTAGCATCACTAACAATGATATGACGAAGTGGTTTGGATATTTCAATAGTAAACTTTTCATTCCAATCTCCATAAATATTTATTTTTTTTATAATTTTTATTTATTTATTTATTTTGTGTTACAAAAACATTTTAAAAGATTTATTTTATTTGAGAGTAAAAACAAACGCATAAATGAAATAAATTAATGAGATATGTACTGATATTCATCAGTCGACTGTAACCCAACCAGCCAGCCAATCAAAACCAAACTTATCCACCTATCCACCCAATCATAACCACGCAAAAACAGCCAACCAATCAAAACTTCACCCACCCAGCCAATCACAAACCTTGGATTAACTTCGCTGATCGGAATATCCAATCTGGCGGCGATATCTTCTACAGTCTCGTTGCCCTCGGAAATTATGCCCACCCCTTTTGCTATGGCCTTCGCTGTGATTGGATGATCGCCTGTCACCATTATGACCTAGTAGGAGAAAGTGAATTACTGAAATAATTTAGAATTACTTCTATACGTCAAATTTGCTGTTACGAATCATGTATTTTTTTAAATTCATCACCTCTGTCATCTTTTTCATCACTATTAACCACATTATCACCATCATCATTACCAATGTCATCATCATCATCATCACCATCAAAATCATCATCACCATCAAAATCATCATCATCATATTCATCATTATCATCACCATCAAAATCATCAGCATCATCATCATCACCACCACCATAATCATCATCATCACCACAATCATCATCATCACCACCATCATCATCATCACCTTGATCCCAGCACTCCTGCACTTGCTGACGGCGTCTGGCACGGCGGCCCTCGGTGGATCAATCATGGATATCAATCCCACAAATCTCAATCCGGATAGCGGGAAGTTACTTTCGTCTCCGTTAAAACTGTACCCCTGAGACGATAGGTGGATGGATGGATTGAGGGTAGAATGAACGAGTGAGCAAATAAGTAATAAATGAATGAATAAAAAATGAGTGAACAATGAATGAACAGATGAAGGAATGATTGGATAGTTGAAGAAAAGCTTGAGTGAGTGAGTAATGACTGAGTAGATGAATGAATGAATGATTAGATAGATGAAAAATAAGTGAGTGAGTGAGTGAGTGAGTGAGTGAGTGAGTGAGTGAGTGAGTGAGTGAGTGAGTGAGTGAGTGAGTGAGTGAGTGAGTGAGTGAGTGATGAATAAATAAATGAACAGATGAACAGATAGAAGAAAAAAAAACAAATAATAAACTAACAAAAAATTGAACGAACTGGATGAAACGAATAAAGAGTTACATCAAATGAAAAGTATCAAACCAGAAAACTGAAAGAACTTCGTACAACTACTATTAAAAACAATCCTCAACAAATAAACAAAAGCAAAAAACTCTTCATGGATGTTACTAACGATGGGATACTGATTGACAGGGAGCAGATAATCACAGAACCCCAAAACCCTTTCGCCCAGTCCGCCAAGTTCAAGGTAGGCCTGGTTGAAGGCGTTTTTGTTCGCCTCGCTCATCGGCTCCTCTTTACCGTTTATCAAAATTGTACTGCATCTGATGACGACGATGATGAAAGTGATCATCAACATCAGATCATCAACAGCTACTGTTGTAGCTGTTGATGATGTTGCTGATGACGATGAAGATGATGATGGTGATGACGATGATGATAAAGAAGAAGACGATGAAGATGATGACGATGATGATAAAGAAGAAGACGTTGATAATGATGAAGATGATGACGATGACAACAAAGATGATGATGATAATGATAATGACGATGATGACAATGATGACGACAACGACGATGATGATGAAGATGATGATGATAAAGAATAACAGCAATAGGCAAAAGCATTCATCATCCTCCGCATCTTTTATCACAAAAATCGCCCATAATTTTTGTAACCCTGACCCCTGACCTTTCCTGGATCCGCTCTGGTGCCCCTTTCATGACGAGGAGGTTCATTTTTGTTTCACCATGGTCGTTGTCGCCCTCTATCTCGTGGATGGAGACCTGGATTGGGGGTAGAAATGTTGGTGGGTTGAGTGAAAATTTTTTTTAAAATTAATAAATATTTTGGACATTTTATGCCGGGAAGAATATAAAAAATTTATAAATTCGTTTGTGGGATGGGATCAAACGTTTAGAAGAAGATTCTTCAAAGTGATGGAGACATTTTAATTTGTAGGAATGAATCAATGAATGATGAAGGATGTTGTTTGTAATTTCTGGACTCAGCTTAGGTTGTGAAAATAACACTGAATATTTTTCTGATTGTAGAAATCATCAAATTTTGAAAGATATAAGTTGTAAGCAATTGCCTACTGACTCAAATGATCTAAGGACAATTTTAGGTTACAGTATTTTAGTTCAATTCCTGTTGCCAAGCTCAGTTCACACACACACGCATACACGTACACACACACACACACGCATACACGTACACACACACACACGCATACACGTACACACACACACACGCATACACGTACACACACACACGCACACTCACACATATTGGCTCTAACTTGATATTTGTTAGTAGAGTTGAAGGGGATTTCACAGACTTTCTTGCACCTTTTGCGGTGTTTTTCCACCTCCCCGATGGACAGTTCCACAAATTTCAGAAGGGCAGACTCCGAAGCATCGCCATTACAATCTCTGAGGTAAAAAATTTTATTTTCCAACAAATAAATAACCATATGTGCACGTTCTTCTATGTTTCTTCATCGTCTACAACGAATACGCATTGCATGAAGACACACGCGAATCACAGCATCAATGTACGTCACATGTGATAGCCTAGGATCTCGTATTTATCATGCATATGGCATAATTTTCGAAATTATCATCATCGTCACGCTGACGTCATCATCGTCATGATTACGTCATCATCGTCATGATCACGTCATCATCGTCATGGCGTAATCATTATGACCAGTACAACCTCTTCAGGACTGGGATACTATCTTGCCCCTGTTTGAACTCGGCCCGGTTGCATAGCATTCCAATTCTCGTTAGTGCCCTCCATGTCGGAGCTTCTCGATCATAGGTTGCGTCTGTGTGTGTGTGTGTTGTGTGCGTGTGTGTGTGTGCGTG